TGTTTCCATTTAAAAAAATTGTCGATTACGTCATCACGCCAACACTGGTGACGAAACGTCTTTCATATGAATATCATGAGATGGGCCGTCAAAAATTAAAGTTGACCTGTTTTTGGATTTCTTCCGAAAGACGCTCCTTTTGTGAATATCGAATTTATTCCATACATTTGCATCGTACTGTTTATCACATTCGTTCGAGAAGTGAGGGGGGGTTTATCTTTGACTCTGGTGTATAAAGTTCTAATTGTGAGAACTGTTTTGGTGGCTATTTGTATATTAGGTAATTCATTGATAATTCTAGAGAGATTGGGAGGGATCTCCCTAATGAAAGGTAAAGTACTATGAAAAACTTTAGTTGGAGCAATATTATTTTCATTGTTTCCAATTATATTTGGGTTTGATGGAGAAGTTGTAGTGATGTCTGATAGGATGAGAAATTAAACAAAATATTTTCTCAACATACTTAAAGTTATCAAGAAATAGTTTAAGCAAAATATCAAGATTTTTTTTGTGAAATTGGATGTCAGAGATTTTAACACTCTATTTTTCATTTGTTTCACTAGATTCACTTTCATCGAGTATTTGTGATATGACCAGTAGTTAATATATCTTCCTGAGCTACAAGGTTTTCTGTACCAATCTATCAGAATATTATTGTTGGTAGTTCGTAAGAACCTTGTGTCAAGAAAGGGTACGGAGTGGTCAGTGTCTTCTGCTTCCATAGTGAATTGAATGTACGGATCATAGCTGTTGAGTGTATCGAGAATGTCTTCAGTACAATCCATTGGCAGTGAATTGATGATATCATCTACGTATTTGTTTATAAAATGAGGTTTAAAGGATAAGACAGGTAATACTGTGTCTAATAGGTCATCCATAACGTATGCAGCTAAGATTGGTGAAATTGAAGCACCCATTGGCGTTCCAAACGTTTGTTTATACATTTTGTTGTCGAATGAAAAGTAAGTGTTATCAGATATAAATTGTATAAGATTAATGAAATTTTCTTCTGGAAGACTACAATGTAAACTAATATTGTTCTATTGTTTGTGGATTGCTCTTATGCAAAATAACTGGGTAAACGAAATCGAGACCTAAGTGGAACCACCTATTGGTGTGACACCCAAGTCACTCCATCATATATATTGTCTGAGGCCGGGTTCTCAATCTGCCTACGCCCAGGTCCCCATAAAAAAATTGGAAGACTACAGAAGCATAGGACAACCTTTCTTTTTTTCCGTGTACTCAAGATAAGATGAATTTAAGCCCTAATAAATATTTCATTTCGTCGAACAAACGTTGAATAACCTTGTTTATATCACAGAGCTTAGTTGAACATGAAATTCTTTTCCAAAAATATTTACAGTGAGAATTTTTGTCTCGGTTCGCCAATGTTGATTGTTTATCAAATTCCAAACATTAAGAAAAAGGCATTAAAAGACGATTTTTTCAGCTTGCGTTCTTCATTTTTAGAACAAAAAATACTGTTTATCGAGAACTCCTGCGAATTTGCTAAGACAGTTCATATTTGGTTAGTTCAGGGTGAACCAAAGGTGTTGTAATTTAGAACTAATTTCAAAACTATGAAACAGAGCTGAGTAAGTTATTGCTGAACACAGTTTCAAGACTTCGAATGAAGTACAAGACTTATTCTTAAATTTCCAATCATTGAAGCCCAATAAAATGGTATACATATTTTACTTAATATCGTTATATTTGGATACTGTTAAGAACGCGCCTAGGACCACTACGCATCCAAATAAGTGTTTGGTGATTTTTAAGTTGAGCATAGAAATATTCCATTAGTGTATTATGTGTTCGTGACAAAGACGGCAGCATAGATATATGACAATAATATTTATTTATTGCATGAAATTTAGTTTGTACATATAATTGTGATCGTTATTCGGGGATTCATTGTAGTTTTTCTTGACGTTGCTCGGTTCCAGCAGTGACTTGTGGTACGTAATTTTTGTTTATGTAAGAATATCAAGCATATATTTTTGCAGATTCTTCAATTTTCCATTTTGAGAGTAGGTAGATTGAGAGCCCCGCGTCAAGTCACAAAACTCTTGAAGCTTGTCACAACCTGAGGAGTAGGTAGATTGAGATCACGCTGTAGCCATACATTCTTGATAATGATTTCAAAGCCGAATAAACGTCGAAAAACTAAAAACTCTAGACGCGGTTCAACCCTCGTTGAATATTTTTCAATATTAACACTTGTTCACAAAAACTATTTGAAGCTTTAATAACTTCTAATATATGCGAGCGCTTTCGATAGCAGACTGTGCCATCATCTTCATGGCTCTACTCAAAATGTCTCTTTCGGTCGCTGTTAAGTAATACCTTTCGTCCTTGCAGTATATACACCACATACCACTGATGATGTATGCCGCAGTAACAGACGAAACGTCTGGTATTTAAGGTTCCATTTGAACACGATTGTGAAAGCCTTTGTTCCTGTATTGATCGCAATCTTGAAAAATGTGAGTCACTTTTGAGAGACTCTGAAGGTTTTCAATGTGGAAACATCATTAGTTCACCATCCGCTAACACATTTACACCGGTTCCGGTTTCCTCCGGTTTAAAAAATATATTATGTGTGGCACTGAGGAAAATATCAAAATAAACATTACTGAAAAGTGAAATTACATCCAGACTAGCTAAGAGGTAAGAGGGAGTGGAAATTTGTTGAATCGTGAGGAAACATCGAAAGTCATATACTTGGACTAAGTATAACATCAGAACCTACTTCTGATCTGGGAACACTATCTGTAAAAGCCTCACGAAAACCAGGCCACCGCGGACTGCTATCCCAAAAACTGCATTTACCAGATACCCTGCGAGTGCGGAGAATCATACATCGGCAGAGCATGAGCAGAGCATGTTTGGACTCATCAACATAACATCAAGTGGGCTGAAGCTGAAATCATCCACAAGGAGGACCACTGGTTCAGGATAAAATTCAAAGAAGCCGCATATAAGTTGTCCGCCAACGCACTTAGCCAAGCTATCATAGAGATATGCAACATATGGAAACCTATAATCAAGCGGAATACGACCAACTCCCGCCAAACGGTCAGCTCCCGCTAAAACCGATGAAGCGAAAAGAGGGAAGAAGGGATAAGTGAAAGCACTCGAATGATCTATAAATAGTCAGATTTTTCAATATAATTGTTATTTTTCAGCTTATCTTTTTAATTTTTCACGGATTCTTCAGGGATTTCAAATAAATTTATATCATATTAGACAATGAAACGAAACATTGTCAACCACCTTCAAACAAACGTGGAAATATAGTGTTACTAGTTGTTGACCGCGGCTTCGCCTGCGTGGAATTTGATTTGTCACATTAAGTTTCGTGACAGACCATTTTAAACAAATAGTTACAATATTTTTTTAATGACTTGAAACGTCAGGTTTACAACTTCAAAACTGATGAAATGCAATATAATCTTTGAACCCCTATTTTTCCCCCTTGGGGGGTGGAAGTTCCTAATTCCCTTTTTTGGTTCTTATTCACGCTATACAAAGAATCTACCTGCATATTTCAAGATTCTAGGTTCAGTAGCTTCGGCTGTACGTTAAGATAAGAGCAGACAACAGCTAGTAGTTTATATTTTTATTTTATAAATACGATAACTAAAAAAATATGGCAACTGCACTAAGTAATTGATAGCTTCGATAATCGAATTATCTTACCTATAAAGAAATACGCAGAACTAAGACAACTGTCAACGACATCTGCCCTCACGCGTCTGCCCGCGTTCGGGTCGCGATGGCGCGTCATTGCTTAGACCGCCCTCTCTATCCCTGCGCATCGTCCTCGGTCATCTTACAGTAGACGCGACGCGTAATGGCTTACTGCGTCAAGTTAATCTTATCGTGATAACTTTTAAACGATTCGTCCAAATTACTTGGTGTGAAAGACAAGATTATTATATACTTAAAACGACTACTGTATCAATTTTTATATTTCCATTATTGTAAGTATTAATGGCTCAGTATTTTGCAAATAGTGGCTACCACATAAGAGGTATTTAGAACTTTCAGAGATATACAATCTTACGGTACTATATCCAACGGTATAGGCAGTGCACGCCAAAATAGCTCTCAGGAATCAAGACTTTTTTCGGCTTACTCAATACTTATCATTATATTATGACGAAAACCTTCGTGAATTGTAGTATATATGTTATTCTGATGTATAAGCTGTATTTATCTAAAGTTTCATCTAAATCCGTTCAGTCGTTTAGGCGTGAAAGAGCTACATACATATATACATTGTTACATCAATCCTCACAAACTTTCACTTTTATATCAGTATAGTATAGAAGATAGATAGATACATACATAGATAGATAGGTAGATAGCTTTTCTGAATAATTTCAAGGCTTCCTTCTCAAATAGACTATCCACCTCTTTTTTCACACCGCACACATGAGTTTCTGGTTAATTGGCGCAGTGAATTTTTTCTCTTTCAAATAGGAAAGCCGATATCGTACACACACAAATTATTTATACACCCTGTATGTCAATGAGGGCTTTTCACGTAGTTTCAGTCATAAGAAATGCATCTTGATTTTTTTACATGTTTGTTTTTTCAGTTTGAATTATGGTCGACCCAATTTCTTTCTTCTTTTCAATTTCAATGGACACATAATGAAGAGACATTCATAAAATGTTTCGAACGAATTATATATAATTTAATTGGAATTACTTCAGGTTATGGAAAGGTCTGCAACAATGTTCAATTCAATTTCGAGTTCTTTTGATATTCAAACCTCTTCATCTACGTATAAAATCATTTCCAAGTTTAACATGAGTCTCAGAACAAATTTCATAAAGATAATTTCATACAGTCAAAAGTTACAGTTTTCGAAATGAGGGACCTCTGTAAACAAGAAAATTTCATGCTACATACACTCGAAACAGGCTATGTTAATATATTTTGTTTGTGCCACACAGTTGTCGAGATTTCCTGTATTTGATAGCGTTTCCAATTGGCAAAACTAGTGCACATTTAGTGTATATCTGTCCTGTATTTCTCAATACATTCATAAATTATAGTTTCAACAATAGAAAACACTGAGTCAACGTTTTTGACTAAATAGCAATTTCGTATCTTTGTTAAATCAGACCAACTAATAATACGTATCTCATTACATATTATCTTATTCAAACGAACTTGGCCCGCTCTGTACACCATTTATATATATATATATATGTGTAAAAATATGTTGACGTCGTTTTATTTATAACTGCATCGAGTCACTTCCGGTGCAGGCTTTCGTTTGGCCTTCAAAGGACGGCCATTTCATTGAAATCAGGTAACACAAGAATGACTCAACATCTTCTGGTTCTCAGAACGATTTGATTGGGTATCTTGTTCAGTGGAAAAATAAATACTGATGCTTTCTTAATGAGCATCTTATGTTTTCTGTATATAAAGAAACGGACGCAACATGTTTTTCTAGTGATGAACGAAGTTTCGAATCAGCAGCGGACGCATCCGTCGTTAAAGGGGATTCTAGGTGCAGAACAGAAAATGCAGATACCCCATTGAGAATGAAAGAAATTTGTTGGTGTCTTACACTGTTGTGTTTGCACATGTCAGATTTGGTAAAACAATTTACACACTCATATATTACCTAGAAACGTAAACACATACAAATACAGAATTGAAATACTAATAGAAAAGGTATTATAATAGAAGAGGTATTATAAAATCAATTGGATTTAAGAGGACTCTGAAAACTGTCGAGAATATGCTTCAATGTATCTATTCCCCGTGGGGCTCTTTTCATAACATGCAATCATGTTTCTTGTACTACTGAAAAGATTTCTTAGATACGTCGCTTCGAAAATGAATATGATTCGTGAAACATACTATTCCAGTCACTTTAGCATAAACAAGGTGTATGAGAGATAATAAGCTAAATATTTGTATATACCTTCATTATGGCGTTCTGAAAGCTGTCTCAAAAGTATCATATAATCTCGTGTCTGTACCGGAAGTTATACGAGGTCAACATGTTTTTTGTCATTCATCCTGATTTTTCTGACCATGCACTCCAAATTATCAAACCTTCAATTAAATCCTGCTCTATTGATGAGCCCTACTACACTCTCAAACGAGCGTTTAATGACCAAAACATTTATTATTTCAAAACCTTACTGTCATGTAAATCTTGGGACTTCGTATATCTCAACAACATTGAGTTTGACACTAAATTTTTCAAATTCTACTCCTTATTCCTCAATCTATTTGACAAAGCATTTCCGCCTGTTTTACGTAAAATCAGCAACACCCACCTTCCTAAAGGCAAACCCTGGATCACCAAGGAAATCATCAATGAAGGTATACTTCTACGTGATGTTTTCAATCTGAACAGAACTCAATGTGATGAAATCGTTAATGAGCAGTACAAAATTAGGTTGAAGAACCATAAAAAAAATTGACCATTCAAAAAAAGAGTATTTCAGTAACAAATTCCTTGAAGCTGATAACAAATCTAAAGTTGCCTGGAATATAATTAAACAGAATACAACATCCAATAATATGAGCAATTGTTTTCCGAATTATTTTGAAACT